GTGCAAAGCTGCTCCATGGGCATACAAACCTAAATCTGATTAATATATTATCAGTAACAACCCCAGACCTCATTACATACTGTTCTGTGATCATATACATTTAATTTAAGACTCTGCATAGCACTGCATTTATAAATGGAAAAGTCTACTGGATAGCAAATGGTACATAGAAAGGGATTTCAGTTTTAACGTGAACTTTTGAGAAGATCATAAAATTCAAGACAGATCATTCTACAAATCATCTTTACAGTTACCAGATTGTGGCTCTACTTAACCCTTCTCTAAAGGAATTCAGCAGAAGCACTTCCCTCTGGCTGTGAACAACAGGAAAAGCTGCTGAAGGAACATGTAACATGAAAGATCTAGCTCTCCAAAGAATCATAGCATTTGGTTTAGCTCCTGGTCTCAGCTGTTCCAAAAAGCACAGGGAAACAGGCATCATTCAGGACAGTTTTGTAATTGCTCACGTGGTTGTAAACTGTAGCGAATAAAAATACTGAGATGTGTGTCACTGCAGTGGTACTAGCTAGAAAAGTAAGAACTCAGCACCATAGCTACAGCTGCAAGAAGGCTGCCTCTCTTGAAAAAAATAACTCCAAAACAGTCAGCAGTCATTTATTAGGGAAAGTTGGTCACTACAAAAACTGCTTCTGGTTTGCCCACATCTTTAAAGCCACTTGGTACCGTAAAGTGGCTTTCTCTAGATGTAAGAATAACAAGCATGCATTAAACTTTGGCAATTAAGTGTTGATAGCTTAATAAAAGTTTTTAGTATGAAATTTGCAATAACCATCAGCTATATATCTATCAAAATGGACACAGGATTGAAGAGCTCTGTGACATGGAAAACGTTTTGTATCTCATGATGATACACAGTGAATGCTTACACAAAGAATTCACTGGAGAACAGCAAGCCTCTGCCATTTCACACAGGTTCTCCAATCTCTCTGCAAAGAGAATAATTTTTTATGAAATAAAAGCCAGAAGTGCTTTCCCAAAGCAGCAGCAGAAACAGCACATCTTTCTCATGGCTGGTCATACTTACCCCACCCTCACCCCCCCAAGGAGCAATGCAATCTCATCACCTTTATGCTACACCACTGCACACAGCCAAATGACTCTGTCCTCGGAGATCTCGGATCTCAAAACTGCACTGCAATTAAAATACAAAGTAACACAACGGAGATGGTTTGCTGACCACAGGAACATGTTACACCCAGTTAGCTTACACCTAACTCATCTGCAGACTTTACAGACCAAAGTCTGGCACAAGTCAGGAACACACAAAACCTTTTCACACCAAGACAATCTTTTGGGCAGGCAAACTGGAAAGACCTCTTTTTCAGATGCCCTTCTCTTTCTAACAACAAGTACAGAATTAACCAGACAATCACATCTCGCTACTTGTAGCTTCATACAGCAACTTTCTTATTTTTTTCTTCTCCAGCCTGATTAACATTCACTAATTTATAGTAAGTGGATCTACAGAAGAGATAGATTAACAAACCTCAGAAGTTTCACAGGTATCTGAAAGCGTGAGAAGAGCCTTATCCACAGAACAAACATCAGGAGAAGAACCACCAAATATGGCATTAAGAAACGAAAACAAAACTGAATCTCATTTTGAAGCCACCACTGTACTTTTCAGAAGCCCAATTCACTGCTGGAGCACTGGGCTGGTAACACTGGATCTCACTGCTCCGAGGAGCCCGTGCTAGATGCTGCAGTTACCTCCTGTCTTGTCTAGATGCTGGAGTTAACTCCTGTCTTGTCAACAGCCTGCCATTTGTAACAACTGGTTTTTGAAGGACATTTGCATTGTCACTTCAAAACTCTTGAGTCAGATGGTTTGGGGGAAAATACAACCTGTCTAAGAAAGAAAAAAAAAAAAACTTTTTCAAGTTGTTTTATGCTGTTGCTCAGTCAATCCTTCTTCCTACTGTGAAAAATAAGGCATAAGTTCACAAAACTCCCATCTGGGAGTCTGTAGCTGGGCTATTCACTTCAAGGCAGCTACTAATTTCCAAGGGCTAAACCTCATCAACAGACAATTAACATACATTAAGTTCTTTGGCAATGCTGTTTTCCCAACTGAATTCCTAGCAAGGTGATGTTCTGCAAGTCCCCACAATGAAGGAATGAGGAAGCAACAAACTTCACTTCCCATTCCAGATCAAGATCCATACTGCCAGTTGGTATCCATATCTTCTAAGAAAATAATCTCCTACAATAATATACTGAAAAAGCTCAATGACTTTTGCAATCACAGATGAAGATTTAGAACTTCAGGACACCTGCACTAAACAAACAGGCAGCTGTTACTATTGACCCACATACAAATACTACTGTGCCCAGTGCCATTAATGCAGAATATTTCATTTGTTAGAGCAAAGCCAAATTTTAACTTCTACACACTTAATTCCTTTTCAGATCAAACTTCATTGCTGCCTCTTGCACTTTATACACCAGAGACACTCATGCAGAGCATCCTCCTCCAGTCCAATTAAAATTCTGCTTCCAACTCCCTCTGTCAAGTTTGCTGTGTTCCCATCTTCTCCCCAGCCATGTCAGCAGCTAGGACAACCATAGATGGAGCATGTTTGGCAGCTGAAATGACCCAGATGCTGAATCTGGAGCCATCTTCCCAGCTGCAGTAGCTGGGCTCACGTCCGACTCCTCAGCTGCTGGCTGTCAAGCTGCCCTCAAGCTGTGCCAAGTGTTCATCTCAAAGCTTTGACCAAAGTGGGGCAAATGCTCTAAATCTGTGAGGCCTGCTGACAAGAAGGATAACAAAGACTAAGGGTTTTTAAAGTAGGCAGTGGGGGAAACCAAACACCCTTCGTCCTTTCTCTTCTATCCCTCACTTTTTTCCACAATCTCTTTTCCTCTATTAATAAAAATTCCAGAAGAGCTGACTGGTGAGAGCACGTCTAATGTACCATGTCCCAGTATGAAGTACTGACTAGGAGATTCCCCTTCACTCATCAACATTACATGCAGTGGAAGGTGGCTCACGTACCACTGCATCAAGCCACAGGCATAGCAAGGGCTGGGAAATAATCTTTATTGAGGGAAAGGTGGAGACAGACAATTCCTTTATTTTATTACTCATTCTTTAAGCCTCCTAAACATCTTTAAACTGTCATACCTGCAGAAATTCTTGTACAAATCAGAAGAGACTATTTAATATCCTACTTCTGACCAATTTCATCATGACCTTAACCCAAGAAGGGACTTCTACATCCTCCATGACTCCTCACTGAGGAGCAAAAGAAAAGGCTTACCTTGATTCAATGGCCTCAGTCATTCAATTACCACTATGCGTTCTAATCTAGATTTAAGGAAGAGTATTTGAAGTTTTGGCCCTTTACCTCAATTCTACTCATCCTGGCATAGCACTCTACATGCTGATAAAATAAACAATCCCCACCCACCAGTGAAGTATCTCCATGTGGCCTATTTGCTAATGAGAAAAATAAGTCTTTTCTGAAATAGCAAGTCAAACTTAAAAACACCTCTTTCAGGTTTCTTGTATGTATTACAGTAGCTGTTACAGCTCCTGAAAGGAAAAACACTGTTTCAGAGAAAGTTTGTTTTTCTAAAATATCACGGTTAATAGTGAAGAATATTTTGTGCCTTTAATATTAAATAGCCTATGCCTTGCTATAAACCTAAGCACTTCCAAATTAAAAATAAAGATGATCTTCCGAGTAAATGGAGCAGCCTCAGTTAATTCTACCTAAATATTTTTGTAAAAGCTAATAGCATTTTTAAGACACATTCCCATTTTTAATTACTTTTGAAAACAGTAGTTCTGAAGCTAACTTCACCCTGCAGCACTTAGAAGTCACTACACTGAATTACAGGCATTAAGAACATTCAAGTGAAACACTTCAGATGCAAGAAGTGGACTGTATTTTAGAAATGTCAAAATTTAACAACCTATTAGTAAAGGAAAGAGACTGTCTACAGTATCATTTCTTTCCTTTAAGCCTCTTCTTTCAAGACAAGCAACTCAAAATCAGATGATCTGTAATTAGGAACCAGGATCCAACAAATGAACAATTTTTATTCTCTACTCAAGAGATTTCTTGTGGGATTGTGTGCAAGGAAATTAACAACTGCCAGCCTCAGTTTCTTTATGTGCAATCTGAATTAGATGTTGGGGGAGGGAGGAAGAGGCAACTTCAAGTTAAATAATTATTCATCATTATTTTAATTAAAATATACATATAAGCACTCAGTTTGCAGATCCAAAACACATGGAGTAAAAGAAGGTTACTACTCAGTTGAACTGGAACTCCAACCCTCGTTCCCACCTGCTCTGCAGTATTTGGAGAAAACACAGGATTTGCAGCACTCCTGCCATGAAGAAATCCAGGCTCTGCTAAGCCCCAAGGAAATAAAGTTGCAAAACAGAAGGTGCCTCACACAGCCAGACACAGCTACTTTTTTACACAGCAGAGACTATAATTTCAATATCCCAAAGTACTCAGCTACAGTAGTAGTTTAGAGTGTAAAAAAGACACTTACAATGAATAGTCAGTAAATAAAGCCAATTTACAGGACTCTAGAAAGCATAAAGAAACTTTCACCAGCTTCCCAGCTTAGTTAATAAAAACAAATCTATGTATTAGGCCCTTCAGAATAGAAACCACCTCTTCATTATGTTTCTACAGCACCTAGCAAAAGGAGGCCCTCAACCGGTAACTGAAAACGCAAGAAAATCCCAACAGAAATAATGATTTCTGCTTTTAAATGCTGTACTGGGAACCCTTTTTAAAAATAAAAATAACAGTAATAAAAAAAAACCAATAAGGCATTTGAAAAACTACTGATCAAGGCACTGTAATGTCCACCTACAGATTAGCACTGCACTTAAGAAAAATCCTAACAAAACAACTTGCTGCCTTTCAGTGGCCACATTTGCCAGCGTGAAAAGAGACTGCCACCCAGTGGACTACCAGCAAGAACACCAACTGCAAGCCATGACATTCGATCCAGAATTGTTGAAAAGTTTATTTTTAAGAAAGTGCGGTTATTTTTAGGATTTTCCCCATTAATACAATAATGTTTCAAATACATAAATTCACTTGTCATTCTGTTCTGCACCTGGAAAATCAACATTTGCATGAAGGCACTGTACGTATAAAGCTTTTCAGAATTACATGAAAAAAAAAAATCTACCAAATCAAGCTGTCACCAGAGAAACAGTTAACTAGTGCAATCACTCAGTTCAGAGGTGGGTTACGTTCTAAATGCAGCTTGTGCCATCCTTGGGAAGGCTTAAACCGAATTCACCTGTAATATGGCAATACTGAATAGCACATACAGAGAGTTTAACAGCTCTCGAGTGTAGTGGAGTTCATTTGTATTTGTAAAATCCTTCTCCAGTCTTCTTACCCAGCTTCTTTTCTTCTACCAGTTTATTCAGGAGTGGGCTGGGTGCAAAAAGAGGATTGTTGGGCTCTAATGAATGCCATCCTGGTGGAAGAAAACAAGTGTATGAATTAGTGGGAGTTCTGTTTATATTTAAAGATAACAAGAGAGCTGCATCTCCTTAGAAAAATATTACAACATCAGAAAACTGAAGGAGGTTTGGAACTTATCCTAGAGTCTCCGAGACCCTTCAATTCAGCTTCATAAAGCACAGATCAGTGTTGATGATTATAAGCAAATCTAGCAATTAGTCTTTAGGCATGGTCTACTCTGAACACCCTATAATCTCAATGACTGAGGATTTTTAATACTTTAAAGAAAGCTAAGGAGAACTTTTAAAATATAGTTAACTACAAGGAAATAAAACAAAGGTTATGCTGAAAAGAAATTCAAGTGGAAAGAAATTCCAAGTTGAATTTCTACCTGTGTAAGACATAGTCAGTTGGAACAATATAATACTGCTCCACAGTACTGGCTGAAAGAAAAAGAGGTTTCACTGAAGATACCATTTTGAAAGTGACATTCTGCCTCAGAGAATATTCAAGTTGCTTATTCAAAATAACAGAAGAATCATCAATAAGCTGTCACCAATTATGTCCTTTTTTTGTTATTGTACTGACATTTACCCACTTATCAAGTGAAGTGAAAGGGAGATGGTATACCTGCATCTTTTGAGGTATTTACTGAGGTTCCCATTACTTGAGAGTGAACATGGTTGGCAGAAAAAGAACAGGGAATCTCAACATTTGTTGCTTTTCATCAGAATTTCTTAACTCCAGAATGTCTCTCTTCCCACTGATTCTTTTTAGCTATATAAAGTTCTATTGATAATATTATTATTATTTTCCACTGGAACTTGATGAAGTCAGCAAAACCACCACTGTTCTGTCCCCATGTACATAGGGTACAGGCATACAGTTCAAATGCTGTACTCACACCGCATTCTGAGATTAATTCTCATTCCTTTCTCCTCAACAGTTAAAATGCTATGCCATAAACATACAGTTTAAACTAATTAAAAGTCAGATGTTCATTAGAACATTCATCTACAATTTAGTGAAAAAGGGGAAAAGTAGAAGAAAATAAGCATGCAGTACCATCTATAATGTATTTACTGGTATCCAACCCAACATAGTCCAGCAGTTCAAATGGACCCATGGGATAGCCAGCCCCAAGCTTCATAGCAACATCAATATCTTCCTTTGATGCATCTCCTAGAGAAAAGATTGACAGTTTGATGAACAGAGAAGATTCTGCACCTACTTGGCACCACTTATAAATAATTAACAAGGTGTTATTTCACCCTGGTGCAGCTCTTCACAGAAATCTCTGCACGTTTCAGAACCACAAAAGCTGGAGTCAGCACACACATGCTGGAGTATAAAGCTGAATCTCTCACAAAAAAAAAAAAAGGCAAAGGCCTTGCAGGCCCGCTTTCCATTTTTCTGGCTTCCCCTCGCATTTCAGTGTAGATCACTACACTACTGAATGAGCCACAGCTACTGTGCTCAACCCATTAGAAAGATTAGAGGAAGAATTCATCACTACAAAGAATCAAGAGCTTCTTTCAGAGGCAGCTGAACAGTGTAAGTAAGGAAAGATCTCAATTTCAACTTCATGAGATGAGCAGCAGCTTTTCAATGATGCACAGGACAGAGCCACCCTTACTTTACAGCAGGCAGAAGGCAAGCGACACGCAGCTGATGGACCAGGCAGGCATGGGGAGGGCAGCAGCAGCAGCTGAGTAACACAGTTACAACAGCTTTCATGGGAGGAAACCCATCAGCATCAGGGATGGCAGATAAGAGTGACCTGCAGAGACTACGCAGGTGCAGTTAAACTTGTGAATTCCAAAATTATTTAAAAAAATAAATAAATCAAAATTAGAAATTTGTTACTTCTACTTAGTCTGTGCCTACAAAAATACAAATTCTGCATTGCCACATTGTCACAGATAATATTCAGCTCATTCTTTTGCTTGGAATGCAGAGTGTATACTGTCATGAAAGCAGATGCACTTCTGCTTATTTCTAATGCGTATTTTGATAAAGGCAGCGCGCTTTGCAGATCCTATAAAAATGATGAAGTTAAATAAACCCCAGAGGTACCTGTAAAGTAACCACCACGCCTGATGCGTACAGGCATTCAGGGCATTCAAAAGCTCAACAGACATAGCCTATGTAATTTATACACCTAAGATCAGAGAATCCTAGAAATAAATTATCAAAACCTCTTGTAAGGGCAACAACTTCAGCAAAAGATCTGCATGAAGTAATATTTTTTATATAGCTCCTTTTACTCTTTAGAGATTTTTTTTTAACCACATTTTATTTCTGAGAAACTGGGAAAATTGGCCTTACTTAATTCTAAGACACATAAATCCTCAACTCGTTTGAAGCTGATGCAGATGTACACCTTTCATCAACAGATGTGTCCCACTTCGTTTGTCAAACCTGGGACTTGGCTACCTGACAGTATACAGATGTGTTACAATACAATTAAAAACAGTAAAAGGGCAAACAAGGGTTGTACCTCCAGTTTGTACGAGTCTCCTAGTATGAAGCAGATTTCCACAGGAAGTTGACTAACTGCTTTTTCAGTTTTCCACTAAGAATGGGGTGTTCCAGACCACCACACATTAATATTTATAATATGCCCCCTGTTTTAAATCACTGTTAATATACTAAAGGTATCTCATCTATGCAAAAGTGCACATTTAACCCAAGGAGATTTTTTATAAATAAAGATTCGAGGATTGACCTAATAAAATAGTATTTCAGTGCTTGGGGTTGCCAGGAAAGACACTCCATTTCATACTAATGTGGATTACAATCTGGCTAAAGTCTGAGAATTAACGCAAAGGATATGATAAAAATTTAACCTGATTCAACAGAAAACATGAATTAGAAGAAAGTCATCGGGCTTCTCAAAACATTAACCATCTTTGTAAATAGACTTCATTAGAGTTAAAAATTCATAAATGAACTTTAACAAGTTTGAAAATATCATACTGTTTAAGAAAATACAAAGAGAATAAAGATTAAATCTGTTCAGGCAGAAAACAGTCAATTTTAACGTACAATCTCAGTGACTGTTTCCTTCTACATTTAAATAAAAGTTCTATTGTCTCCTGAAATATGCATAATGATACATGTCACTTAACAAAGGCACCTCTTTTACACACACTGGAACACCCATACACTTCATTTAAAACTGTGACTTTTTCTAAGAGAATAATACCCCCTCACATCCATGCCTTTGCCTTTCAAGTCATTAAATTTGCTCTTTTCTCCCTTTGAGATGTAATTAGGTACATCTGTTGATGGATAAACAAGTAATGTTGGTTTATTTTTTTCCCCTGGAGATCAAACCATCCCTTCCATGTGCTATAAAAGCAATTTTTAATATTTAAAGCTTATTTGGTGGAATACTGATAATGGAGTGCTTTCATCTGTAAAAAAGCAATGATTTCAAAACCAAAATGTTTCAAATGACATTCTTAGCGGCACGGAGCTACGAGCAGAGCATTCAATATAAAAGCAATTATACTCCACAACTTCCTCTTTATCCACTACATTATTGGCTTGTTTCCTTTTCAAAACAATTATCAATGCTTTGAAAAATTTAGTGGTTCTTTGGGGATTCGTGCCTTTTTCTACCTACCCTCAGTATTAATATAAGAGACCATCAGTGAGATGGGAGTTCCTAAACAACTTATGTCTAAAGAAAGGACATAGAAGAGGAACAGGAGGTTTTATGAGGCAAGAGTTGAGCCCAAATCACTGGAATGCCAGTACCACAGTGTGACACTGAATATTATACTACTCACCTCACCTGCAAATTAGTGTTTTATTTCACAAGCCCAATGTAAGCAAACTCAGGAGAACTTTGCTAATGGTCCCATTATTTTCAGCCACTTTCATTAACATCTCTTGGGATGCAGAGAGGGAGGTTCCTGATTAGTTGGCAGAGGATTATTTTTAATGGCACTACACTCACCTTGTCATCTCCAAACCAGAAACATTTTCCACCACCACAAATTTCCCACACAAGTAACTAGTACCTCCCAACTCTGCATACACTGACATTTCAAAGTGGAGACAAGGTATTTCCAACTACATATATTGGCTCACATTTGATGTTCACTGTTCAATTCAAGCCTTTAAGGTCTGAAAGTTTTGAGGGAATTCCAAGGCTTTTCTGAAGGGATATAACATTTAGCAATGTCATATGTCAACACTCCCTGAAGTCAATATCCCAACAAGTACCTCTCTCAAAAAGTCGAACAGCTTCCATCATATATGGCACCAAGAGACGGTTTACAATAAACCCTGGTGTATCCTGTCAAAAGAAAAAGAGGGATTCTAAACAAACATTCTTTACCAATATTACACTCAAACACTACATGACAAATTAAAAAGTGGATGAAGACAATTACTGAATCAACTTTGGTGCTCTCTAAACTGTATTTTTCATCTAATTTATCTGTTCAGTATTAAAACACAAAAGATGAATTTCACAAACAAGGAATGGCACATAAACATTAATTATGACTGAGAACAATAGGACTACTACAAGCCCAACTCTATTAATCTTAAAACAATTTAATGTGGTCAGTTGGAAAATGCCTTTTCTTTAGCAAAATTCTCCTGATATAATTTCCTGAAGTATATGAGAACAGCAGTTCTTCCCTAAGGCTTTTTTTGTGTGTGTGTTCACTACTAGAAACACTCCTGGCAAAATAGTCTACTTCTTCCCCACTGCTTACTGGTAAACCATGCTTTTGAAAGTCAGGATCATTTCAATAGCAAACAGCAATGCTATCAATGAAAAGAGAAGAGATATGCTGTCAGAAGATGGTAACAAACTGGTAACGGAACTTCTTTTACACAAGCTTTAATCAAAACCAAAAATACAAAGAAAAGAGAAGGAGCTTTGCGAACACAGTAAGTGGTATTTCATACAGTACTACTATTTCAGATGTTTATTCTTCATTCCATTTTATCTCAATATTTAATCCAGAGAATTCCAAGCAACTTTTCTTCTACAAACAGGAATTAAAAAAAAAAGAGGAAAAAAGGATTCAGACATGGGAGACTGCATTATAACAATAATTCATCATATATTCTGCACATTATGTACTGCAAAACTGTGACAGAAACAGGAAAAAAGTCAACTAAGGCCACAGAGCAATTTAGCATTACAGTCAGAATTAAGAGTCCAGCATCCAGATGCTGAATTACTGGTAACTACTGGACTGCAGGCCCTTCTTTTTATGACCAAATATCTCCAGGGGGTTGTAAAACTCAAGGCAATAGTTTGTATAAAGCTACCCAGACCACAATTTTGGAAAAACTGTGCTTAGGAAGTAGGGTGTTCTTTTAGAGAAAAAAAATAAATCTGTGAAGCAATGAAGATTAATATGGATCTAGTTACTGCAGTCTAAAGAAAAACTTGCAATGAGCACACACCATGGAGGATTCATCCAACTGTCTCACAGTACAACAGGTAGCAGTCTTGCTTCTAGCATAACTAAAATGAGCTCCTGCTTAAGCTGTCTAGTGCAGGCTTCTGCAGAACTGGAAAAGAAAAAACAACTGTAAATCCTGGTACTTGTGAGTTTTGCTACTCTAGACAAGATGTCTAGAGATATTGGGAGGAATTTGTGGTAAATGTGTTTTCTTTGTTAAAATACTTCTAATAGGGAATAGAAACTGGAAAAAAAGCAGCCTGGAAATCCCTGAAGTGCTTTTACATCTACCAAATCCTACCAGCTCAAAAGTAACAGTTTTCAAGGACAGGTCTTCTGAACATCATACAATCAAAATGTACTCACCTTACAGCTGACAGGACTCTTTCCTACTGCTTTACTGAAATCCACAAGTGATTCAAAAGTCTTTTGGCTAGTCATTGGAGTCTTGATGACCTGGGCAGAGGGAAGTTGGGAGAGTGTAAGCACATTTATGAGCAGAATCTCTCTCATTTCCCAGTGCACCAATGATTAAACTGTAATTCAGAACACTATTCCAGAAATTCACAAAACATTTGTTTTCCAAAGAACAGTTTCAGTAGATATATATGTAACAGACACAGAAATCTCTTCTAAAGATAGATACAGCATTTTGCACATTTTGAATTTATGTCTTTCTTTAAGATGCTTTCCCACTCAGCCGGTATGGATGGTAAAAGGGACCACTATCCTTTGGGATCACATTTAGTTATTAGACGTAGTCTAACAGAACAACTTTAAAAGCTACATAATCTCTGTCGTGTTGGGAAACATGATGGCATCACTCTAGACAACCATATTAATAGACATCTACCCTGTGCCCAATTTAGACACAACACAGACATTTAATTCTAAAGAAAATTTAAAATACATCTTTCAAATTTGTGATAGCCTCTTAGATTTTGAGTAGTATGTTTCCACGTTGATTTTCTTCACAACTGAGTCTTGTCATACGTAGTATTTTCTATACTTCACTGGAGTTGGGATGCATTGAGTCATTCACCAGAGACCTACCCCCCTGCCCCCCAGGAAAAAAAAAAAAAAAAAAA